ATTCGAACTATGCTTCCAAAACTCATCTAGACAGACCGCCACCTTAAATTTTAAATATTACTCTACTTATTCGTTTTTCTTTTCTTTTTAATTTGAAAAATTACATTTTTAATGCTCCTGCTGTTGTTTTTTCCTTTTGGAGTTAATGACGGTGTAGTCTCACAAAAAAGGAAAGTACCACCAAAACAAAAGAGAAAAAAAAACAGAACTGACTGGCAAACAGCACGACACCAGCTATCAAGAAGCTGTTTTGTCTTTTTTCCAAAGATTTTGCAAATGTACCCTGAGAGATGTCATCTTAAAACCAGGCACAAACACATTCACATAAAGCAAATCTTAAAGTCCTTGAAAATAATTTATCTTGTTTCTTATTTTGATATAAACAAGAAGACGACATGCACATTCATGCACAAAAGCACGCATGCAATTTAAACAATACCCCTAGTAAATTGAAAGATATGGCACAGAATATTTCCACTGAAGAAGAGAATGAGAGGTAAAAACGGACTGGCGGACGGGGACAAACTCAGACAAACATTTGTTGTTTATCAACGTCATCGCGAACGAATAGATATCTATCTTGCTGCTGCATCTTTCCAGGTCCTTGGTCCTTGTTCTTGTTGTTGTAACTAGCGAATCCTGCTGCATTTCTTTGTGATGCAGTTATTCCACTGGCTATTCTTATAAGAGTGCCCTAAACGTTGGCATGCAAGAAAGTCACTGTCAACGCAGAGACAAATTGAGACCCCGTTTTGAAAGTGTGGTGGGTGGAATCTTTTGTGCTCTGTTTGTTTTTAAAAAAATGCAGAGGATAACAATATTATAAGGGTGTGTCAAGTTAGTTGCATGTAAAGTAACCTTTAACAAACAATGCCTCAACAAACCATCCATCCGATATGATAAGAATACAATATTTAAAACACAACATATTTTCATTATATTGTAATAAAACCGTAATTTTCAGTTTCCAAAACTCAATATTTTCGTCCTTCAAGGAACTTTACTTATGGAATTTCCTATATGAGCACATTCAGGGTGAGAAAAAAACACTGCAACAAAGTCAAATGCCATAATTTTTACATTTTTTAAATTTTATTGAATAAAACAAAAAATGTCGGAAATAGCATCACATTTTAGAATAAGTTTAGATTTGTTCGAATTGGTCACCTTTGGCACGAATTATGGCCTTCAAACGGCCAATGAAACCGTCAATTTGGAACCATTCTTGGGTGGCAGCAGTCTGAAGTTGGTTGCAGTTTTTTTCATCTCACCCTGTATAATAAATAAGTGTACTATGTAAATTAACCGACGTGTTTTTTTCTATTATGCATAACACTTCTTCCAAATGAAGGTTTCACCCTTGGGCGAGGGAGACTCGTGGCATATATAAAAATAAGAGTGTTTACTTGTTTTTGACGATAAGACAACAGCATAACTCTTGAATCTTAGTGTGTCCAGATTTCTAAATTACTAACAAATATAAAGAAAAAGCAAAAATCTGTACATACATCGTGAAAAAAATAAAATACACGCTTTTAAAGAATTTATAATTAACTTTTCCCCAAAATGTAATTCTTCTTCTTTTAACCAAAATTTGTTTTACAACCCCACCCCAATGTATCCACATTCACCTTGGAAGTTGAAGAAAATTGCCATCATTTTCCCCACGTTATTTTCTTTGTTTATTGTGTTTGCAATAGTGAAAAGTGTTTCTCGAGGACGTGACAGATAAATTGTTCTGTCACTGATAAGGTTTTTACAACGTGAGAGAAGGAGAAGAAGGTTTCGTGTGCTTTATGATCATTCCAGATGATTAGTGGGCAATTTAAGATAGTGATGTGAGAAAATACACTTTAGGTTAGGTTTTTTAGTTTAGTAAACTAGAAATTTGGACGAAATGTAATTGTCAAAATAATTCAAAAAACGAATTATTGAAGAACTACAACTATTGATAAAAAAGCGCAATAAAATCTGAAAAATTCATGAAATCTTTAGTTCAATTAATAGTAGAGTCCAAATGTGGACCACGACTGCGCATCAAATGGTCCATCCGCTTAGTCCAATTTAAGCATAGTCCAATCTCGCATGTTGTCTTTCAATGCGTCAATTAAAGCAGGCTGGTCTGTATAGGCCTGAGCTTTAATATGGCCCACAAACATAATCTTAAAGCATCATATCACAGATCTAGGTGGCAAATCGAACAGTTCCGAACGTGAACTAAAATGTATAGCGAACTCGCCTCTCATGAAGTCCATTGTTAAGCGTGCTGTGTGGCATGTGACACCGTTTTGTCGTTTTGTCATACAATTTAAACTCTAGCATTTTGGGCAAAAAAAAAAAACATTCACGGTAGATCTCACCATTCAGAGTTGCGATATTATTGGTAGCATCTTTGAAGAAGTACGGCCCCAATGATGCCAACAGCCCCAACCGCATCAAACTGTAACTCTTGCAATGCTTCTAGCTGATATTCGCTTTAAAATCAACAATTCTGCTTATTTATGTACCCGTTAATCCAAAAATGAGCTATTCATAAAATGGAGGGACGCACAATGAACTTTCCTAACGGAACACGTCATTTGATACTTAAATTCAATGATTTCCAAGCCTTCTTTCGTTTGTAAGGGAAATAAAATACGAAACGTACGTGAGCTGGCAATAGCTTAAAAATAACGTTTTATATATTGGCGGATGGAATATACATTTTTATGCCCTCAGCCATATGGCTATAGAGGGTATATATTATTTGATATGCCCAAAACGTGCCTCATTGAAATAACTGTTTTAGACCCCATGTCTCTTTGGACCAAATCCGTTTCAGGACATTTGGTGTCGATCTAGCGATGTCCGTCCGTTAGTCTGTCTGTCTGGCTTGTACGGACGATAACTCTCGAAGGGATTATTCGATTTGGTCCAAACTTAGTATATCGTAATTTTATTGTCAAACTTATATTGGCAAAATCGGTTCACTCCTTCTAGTATATCGCCCACAAAAGGTCGAAATTTTGAAAGAAAATATTTGATTGCACAGAAAGAGAAAGGATGATCCATCTTTGCAAATCCTAATATTTGCACCAGTGTTAGATGAGGTGCGAAAATGGATAATATTGGTCCAGACCATTAAGTGCCTCCCCCACAAAGGATCAGCATTTTGCATAATTATTACTCTTATATACTTTGTTATAACAGTCCAATTGTCTTCAAATTTCACACATCACAATATTTTTATTAACCTAAGGTCTAATCTGAAGCTGGGAAAAATCGGTCCACTCCTTCTGATAGCTTCCAACAAACGGTCAACATTTTGAATATCCATTAAGGGCTTAAAACGCGAAATTAACCTCCGATTCCATTCAAACTTGGCACATCTCAATAATTCTATCAGCACAAGATCTGCTGTAAAGATGGTGGAGATCGCACCATTACTTCTGGTACTTCCCCCACAAAGGACCAAAATTTTGAATAATTATGACTCTTACAAAATGCAAAATGAGCATTCAATTACTTTCAAACTCGGTTAATCCCAATACTTCTACCAACACAAGATCTGCTAATTAGATGAACAAAATCGGACTATTCCTTATGGCACTTCTCCACAACGGGTCAAAATTTTGAATAATTATAACTCTTATAAAACATGAAATAAGCATCCGTCCCATCTTTTTCTTCTATGTATTTTAATTAAACTCTTCTGATCGTAAGTCCTATTTTAAAAACTAATAAAACATTTGAAGCACAATATAGCGCCATCTGTACGTCAATTCATAACTCTGTGGGGAGATAATCGTCTTATAGGATTTGCTTTCTTTATGAATTATTCTAAATGTTTAATTGGCGACTTGATAATAAACTTCAAAAATGGTCCGATGAATAATGAGATCCAAGTTTTTTTTTCAGATTTGGTACTTTTAATAGAAAAATTCCAACCATACGTGGTACATGGCTAGACCGCTGAATTCAATGGAAAGACCAAATTTAACTCGAATATGCAATCAATATTTTTAGCATATTACAAATGCATGCGTTTTTCACATTTTTTATATAAAAATATTTTTTTACCCTTTTTTGAAATCACCATATGATTGTATTGCATTCTATTTAGAATCCAAAAAAATATCTCATATCCTAATTTCAATCCAAGTCAGACTTGCCTTGACTTCTACTATTAACGACTAACAATAAATAACAATAATATTACTAAAATGCAAAGATACTTCAGCTTTTAAGGTCAATGAACGAAATGTTTGTTTTTTTCCAAATACACAATCAGATTTAACAAATATCTTTGTTGTTGTTAACATTTAAGATTTGTATATAATACATAGATTTTGTGTTACATGGCATCATGCTGTCTAAGAAATACCTACTGCTACACTACACTTCCACAATCCACTACACTTCTACGTTTCACTCATTTGCCAATAAACACCGAACTCTTTCAAAGAGGAAAATACTTTTTCCCAAATCATTTGCACTTGTGCATCTAATCGTTTAAGATCTCACGATTTCAAGTTGATATATGTGTCATCCGCAGCATATTCTCTGCTGCTATTGTTGGGCATCCGCTATGAAAATGATTTAGTGATGGTGATGTTGGTGGGGTTACGACGACGACATAACCCTACCAAAGAACGCCATTCATGGCAACAAAAGAAACTAGGAAACAACAATCATGCTGACAAGAAAAAAGTGGAACAATGACTCTTTAAGATTGGATTTACCATCAGGGGCAATAATTTGCAGTCAAACACAGTCTCGAGTCTTCAATTCCCTGAACATGTCATTAACATTTCATTTTCATAATTTCCTTTTTTCATTAAGCGGTCGTTATTCCCAACCATTGTTGTATATATTTTCTCACATAATTTTTACTTTTTTTTACAAAATTCTTTTCCCTATCTCCATATAAGTTTATATGTATTATATTAACAAATAATAAAAAAAAACCAAAATCCTAAATCCTTTTTGCTGATATATCTTCTATTGCACTTCTATTTTAGGTACACTACACAGACTACCACACCGTGATACAGGAAAATATCAAATGAATTTAGGTAAAATATAACACAATTTTTGTTTTAAATCGTTTTCAAAAAAAAAAAAAAATCCATGACATTCTGTTCCTTCTACATCTTATGCTGCTATATAACACATTAAAACTTTTCCTCTATCTCATATCAACTGATTAGTTATACTTGTTAACACCTTATCATATCTGCCAAAACTCTCCCACAGAGTAAACGAAAGACTGACGTCGAAACACTTTGCGAATTTGCCAAAGACATATTTGCACTTCAGTTAATAAAAAAAAGATTGTTTAGCCAAACAATGTCTGTCGATAAAAATTAAGCGGAACAAAGCTTTGCAAAAAAATTATTAACGTGACGATTAGATAAGAAACTGCAAACAATGACACAGGGGTTTTTACATGCCTCGTATTCAGATAATTAATATTCATATATATTATATATATTGCTTTATATGTTTTAATATCATCGGATACTATTCAAAGTATTTATAAAACAATTATTTTAGAGCTCAGTTATTGGCTTTATAAACTCTGGCGTAAATTTTCAAGTATTTAATTTAGTTACAAATCCATTAAAATATAGAAAATTATTTAATTGTTAATTTGTCTACAGCAAAAGTTCCATTTGATCTCACGATCTTTTTCACAAAATTTTCATAACTTACAATAAAGTCATAAAGGCTCCGATATAGTCATCATATTCCGCATGTACTGAATTGGCATAAATATGTATCAATATTCTATTGGAGAGTACCATTAGTCAAAGGACTCAGTACAAGTTAATGTAAAAAAAAACTACCTTGTGCAAAAATTGATTATATCTTGAAGGACCAAAACGTATTTCTAGACTTTAAAGATAAAAAATTGCAACAAAGTCAAACGCCATAATTTTATTTTTTTTATATTTTAATGAATGAAAGAAAAAAATGTCGGAAATAGCATCAAATTTTAGAATAAGTTTAGATTTGTTCGAATTGGTCACCTTTGGCACGAATTTTGGCCAATGAAACCGTCACAGTTGCCCGAATGTTGCTCTGCGGTATTTTGGCCCATTCCCGGCGAAGCGCTTGCTTGAGGTGATCCATACTTTGGTATTTTTTAGTGCCAACCTTGCTTTCCGAAATACTCCAACGGATTGGTATCCGGAGATTTTGGTGGCCATTATGCGCTGGAAATGAAGCGAGAAATCTTATTTTGTAACCATTCTTAAGTAGCGCGTGTTGAGTGCGATGGTGCTGAGTCGTGTTGGAATGTCCAAGGTTTGCGGCCAAAATGTTTTCGTGCCCAAGGTTTTAATACACCCTCCAGAATATTTTCACGATAATATTCGGCATTTATTCTGATGCCACTGTCGAATAATACGAGCGGAGAGCGATCATCGGCTGTTATGGCGGCCCACATTATCACCATGGCCGGCGGTTGAGTTCAAGGTGGCCAACCGAAGGTGCACATTTACAGCTGAACTCTTTTTTTCTGGAAAATTTCACCAAAATGCTTTTGTACGCTAGTAAACAATATAATGAACTGCCAGTGGAATAATTTTAACAGCTGTCGGACCCTGTATATATACAATGTTCCGTCACTGAAGCTAAAAAACATAACGAACTGCAGGTACCAATTTTTAGACTTGGTAGGAAAATGTGACTAAGACCACTAAAATACCGAATATCGGGAACTATTGTTATATAGACGCTATCCCAAAACGTGGGCGGATATACCCCATTTTCAATACCAACCATCCTAGACACAATTCAAATTACTATGCCAAACTCCCAAATTTCTAGCAGCACATGATCTTGAAAAGATCATGGATTTTTTTGTATTGTCATATTTTTATTTGATGCTAAATAACTACTCATATAAAAAATTGATCTCTTTACACACCTTGGGGTATGACATTATTGAGTCTATTACATTTTGTACGGTTCATTGACCATTCAATATATTTCTTATATTTTTATTTTCCATTTCATTTCTTTTCTAATTCATTGTTTCTATTGCATTCTTTCTGCCTGAAGAACAATTAACATTTTCATCTACTTCGCTTAATAATTCTCAGGCATTTGTTTATTTCCCATGAAATCTTTAAAGCATGCTGATGAATTTCCATGCAAACGGGATGTGCGAGATATGACTGATCAACGATGATCATTTCTAGACCCTGACTAGCCCACCGGCACACATTTTATGTAAATGGAAGAAAACAGAGATCTCATTGTATTCTAATTCCAATAAGGAAATGCTATTCACTTTATCTTAATTTCCTTACGACTCTGCGGCAGCGACAAATGATCATCGGAGACTGGGAGTTCCCCCAGACAACTCTTTTGTTCCACATCAACAAATTCCTATGTGAACTTTGTAATAAGTTTTGTGGTTGAATGATTTAACGGTCATGTCTTTATGAATGGCACCATTCTGGTAGGGTATTATTGTTATTGGCTGGCCATTGTTAAACGGACGTGCGAGCGTGCGTGCCGCCTACACATTGGGTCATTATTGTTATTTAAGTGGGTCAATATGAATGTGTTGTGGAAACATCAAAATCAAATATAAATCTTTAAAAGGAAATATTTTCCTAGGGGGAGTCTAAACTAATTTGAATGTTTCTTATAGATGATACTTATTAATTATCGTCGTTTTTCATGATACATACAAACCAATCTATTTGTAAGCAAACTCCATTCATTGGCTCTGCTCTAGAAGTTAATTTTCATAAACAATTATTTGCCTAGTTTATAAATGACAATCTATGTTTGTTTCGACCAATTAAACGTTTCACGTCATACTCCGTGAAAAGTGCGTGTGTTTTTGTGTCTGCTGCAGGTTTAGGGGAAAAGTCATGCGTTTGCTTCAAACACCGGAACTATTATGACTTCCGTTTCCATTTACCCACACAAACTCTATTTACAGTTCTCTTCATTGTTTATGGAAAGCAGTTTTATTTTGTTTATTAGGTGGCATACTCATACATACGTATGTATGTAAGTGCAACACAGAAAATACCTAGCGTCAGACACGCATCAATACCCAAACCGTTTGTCTGCTCTTCTATTTGTTTATTCACTCTCTGGGCTTAACAAAATATTTTGAATGTTAGGCCCATGTGTGATTGATCCGAAATGGGTGTTTCCATTGGAAATTTTTAATTTGTTCATAGTTTTATGGTTCAACTTAATTTTTACGTTGGAGTGAATGTACTCTTTAGAGCTTATTCCATTTGAAGTAAATCCTAGCTGAAATAGTGTATTGATTCAAGCTCACCAATCTTGTCTTTCCTCTTTCAAATACCGAACATCGACAACCCCGTGTAATCTTTTCAAATCTAATGTAATGACCCATATATAACCTAATTTAAATAATTGCCGTATTGTTCTATTTCCTGAATAATTGTCACTCGTTTCTACACCTATACATATATATTGTGTGTATCTATGTGGTTAACAATAATTCACGTTCCAAACAGACGAAAAACGACGTCTACCCGCTTTTTGACAGTTTTCTCTCAAGCAGTTTGTGGATATTTGTTTTTGTTTATAATTACTTTGCTACAGAACGGTTTACGAAGGTATTGTGAAGAATATTAATATAAAAGTTTTGAACATGACTTATATCCGATACGGATTTGTGAGTCTCTTGCGCTATTTGTTATGGGAATCGGATGTAAATTTGTAAAAATGTTTTTTTTATTGTTTCATAATAGAATTTTATTTAAAATCGTCAATTATAGATAGCTAAAAATTGAAGTATATATCCCAGATTTTTATACACTCAGACTTATGATTATAGAGAGAGATTATATGATTGAATATAGCCAAAATGAGCCTTCCATTTCTCTTTGAATGAAATCGCTCCAGGGCATTCGAAATCGATCAAGTCATGTCCGTCTGTATGTCCAGGTGGTGCTCACAATAACTCTCAAAGAGAGGGGAGTACAAACCGTACAAGTTGTAATACTTTTTCTGAAGCTTAGAACGAATTGGAAGTTGTGCCATATAATCGGTCTGCTCTGTTAATGTTAAATATAAAAAGAAATAATAATATAATAATAAACACGTATCCCAATATCCGAAGACACTATGAGATACACTTATCCCTCCTTCCTGTCAAATGGTCAAAATTTAAAATAATAATATCACTTACAAACATAGAACTAGTACCCGATTCAATATTTTTTTAACTTGGAACAGTACTGTAGTAGGATATATCGGTCCACTTTTTTTGTACCACACACTCACAAAAGTTCTAGATTTTCCATACAGTCATGTACAGGATGAGATGAAAAAACTGCTACCAATTTCAGACTGCTGTCATTTCTAAGCCACTCGTCCGACAGCTGTTAAAATTATTCCAGTGACAGCTCATTATATTGTTTACAAGCGTAAAAAACCTTTTTGGTCAGAATTTTCCAGAAAAAAAGATATTCGTGATGGAATTCAATCGTGATAATGTGATTTCTTTATATTTGGCTGGAAAACCACAAGTGCCTATCGTTAGAGCACTCCAGCATTTAAATGTGAATAAATTTTTTGTGTCTCGTACCATCGCTCGTTAACGTGATATTGGTAGCTTAGCCCGATGTCAAGAAAGTGGACGGAAGAACACAGCAACATCAGCAGAAATGGTTCGGAAAGTAAAGAAGCGCCTTGATCAAAACCCGCGTCGCAGTAGACGAAAAATGGCTCGTGAGCTGAACGTATCGCAATATTCCATTCGACAAATATTGAAAAATGATCTCGGGGTAAAGCCATTGAATTTCCAAAAAGTGCAAAAACTTACACCGCAACAGAAAGTAAATAGACTCCAAAGATTTTAAGAGTTGCTTCGCTAGGCCGAAAGTAGTGAACTGCCGAATTTGATTTTTCCGATGAGAAAACATTCGTTGTCCAGCAGTTTGTAAACAAACAAATGATCTTGTTTACTTGCCAAAGAGGCCAGCTGAAAATGTGCACCTTCGGTTGGCCAACAGAACTCAATCGCCGACCATGGTGATGGTGTGGGTCGCCATAACAATCGATAGTCGCTCTCCGCTCGTATTTATCGACATCAGAAGAAATGAAGTATTGTGTCTGGAGTATTTTGAAAAGCAAGGTTGGCACTAAAAAATCCCAAAGTGTCGATCACCTTAAGCAAACGCTTCCCCGGTAATGGGCCAAAATACCGCAAAGAGACATTCGGGCAGCGTTTAACGGTTTCATTGGCCGTTTTGAAGGCCGTAAGGCCGTTTCTATTTTGACCAATTCGAGCAAATTTAAACTTATTCTAAATTTGGAGTTATTTCCGATATTTTTTGCTTTCATTCAATAACATTTAAAAAAATTGTAAATATCATGGCGTTCGACTTTGTTGCAGTTTTTTTTTATCTTATATTGTATTTTATTCATATTTGAAATACCCTACAAAATACCTATAAATTTAAGTTCTTTAAGGATAATATCTACATTTTAATCCAATCCAATAAATTTTTTTCCAATTCAAAATTTCGAAAATTTACTTCATGCTAAAAAATTTTGACGCACTTCTATGTTTTATTTCAAACCCATATGGGGCTCAGGTTTTCTCGAAGATCCCCACGGCATCTTCCATCCGAATATTCTCTAATTTTAAACTGACTTCAATTTTCATTAAATAAAAATCCTGGTAGCTGATAATTGTCAACATAAATCTACATTGTAATATTTTCAAATGTAAAAAATACTCCAAAAACAGACATTGACACACCATCAACATATCTTATTTGCAAACGTAAAAAATCTCTTGAGTCTTTTTCTTTCTACTTCAATTCATCAATTGTTCCGGTCTACTTTGTATTGAGTTCAAATGAAATTGACCTAACCAAGAAAATTAGGTGTAGTTTACAACCACCAACGCCACCCACGAAAAAGGTCATTACTCATGCGTGATCGGAGCCACGGCGAAGATATCATTGGATATCTTCTCGTAAATGAATACAACAAAAATTGACATTTACACCGCAGATGTTAGCAATATTTTATATTTACTTTTCCACAATGATTTGGTTGCATGTTTTTTTATTTGTTAACATTTCTTGTCTCGTCAAGAAAACCTAATACACTGCAGCCACATAAATATTAATTTCAAAAATTGATTTGTGTATCCGTAGAGGACCGCAAATAACATACAACACAGGCCGTTAGCCGTCTTTAATGAATCGATATTAAAATTAATAAATAATTTCAATAAAGGCAATGACATCCAATAAGAAATTGGGTACAGAGAAATTGAAAATTTATATCTAAATGTATCCAAACTTAGAAGGTATGAAGTTGGGCTAAATGCCAAAAAAACATTCAGTGACTTCTAGAAGATACACATTTGTAACTTATCGTCCATATATCAGGTATCCACATGTATCTCAAAACACATCCAAATTGGCACATATTTTATATGCCTTCGTTTTTCCCTCTAAGTATCTTTTTACGAGACAAACAACCTCACAAAGAATTCCCACACCTGGGAAATAACCAATGTTACAAATCTTAAGATACATTACATCATTACGAAAACCCACATAAATAGGCAACATTCCAAGCTGTCTCAATGTGAGAACCTTTGTCAAGAACACAATGGAAAACGTCCATGGCAAACATCTTTCCCCACCGCCGATTCGGCTGATGAAGCAAAAAACAAACGTGGAAAAGAATTATTTAATGAATTTCGAGAGAACGAGGCGGAAACAAGTTTAGTTAAAATGTTTTGTCTTGAATAGCTCGGGAAAAGAATAGCAAGACAACAACTCTGCAACTTCTTGTGGCTCAGTTTACTTTTCATTCTTTTTATTTCGTATTTTTTCTACTTTCTTTGTATTTGTCATTTATGCTGCTCTCGGTTATTATGCTTTTCTTGTAACCGTTTTTGTGGTTATTGTTATTGTCATTCATGGCTTTTCCTGTGTTGAGGAATAGCAAAAAGCCAGTGAGATGGGTGGTTAAGCGGTTATGCCTCATTTCACCTTGGATTTTGTTTACAAATTACCTTGGAATAACTTTTCTTTTAAATTTAAGAATAGAATATCTGTCACCCATTGCTGTTGATTGGGTTCAGTTTCATCCTAAAATACAGGGAATTTAACCAATGTTCTATGTATACCTAGAAACTTTTTACCTCGAATTTCCAGAATATATATTCTGGTTTTCGCCACATTTATCATGTACAAGGATGAATTCTAAACTGTAATCTCAACTTTATTTCAAACCTAAATCGAAATGTGTGTATGTTTATTTCATGTGACGAGAACATTAGATCTATTTTTTTATAACTCAATAATTTTTACTGAGTAAATTTTCTCAGTAATAAATTGTAAACCCTGGGTTACTTATGCCAATTCACTCTCATAGAAACATTATAGATCTGTAAAATATATGTTTTAGATAGATAATAATTTCATTTCACATTTGACCTTCTCGTTTCTCTTTTTCAATATAATAATATATTTTTTTGCTTTCTATTTGCAGAAGCTTTGCTACAATCACGTCCTCTGCCTCACATACCACCAGGCTCTACAATTTTGGGCGGTGTCAGCGATTCTTCCGATCATTTGGTTCAAGATGGCATTTCCCTGCATACCACACAATCACATAGTCAAGGACATAGTTCTACAACTTCAGGTTTTGAATCGGCCCACAGATGGACTTCCAAAGAGAATCTGCTAGCGCCTGGACCCGAAGAAGATGATCCACAGCTTTTTGTGGCCTTATACGATTTCCAAGCGGGTGGTGAAAATCAGTTAAGCCTCAAGAAAGGCGAACAGGTTCGCATATTGTCATACAATAAGTCCGGCGAATGGTGTGAAGCACATTCCGATTCGGGTAATGTCGGTTGGGTCCCCTCAAACTATGTCACACCACTGAATTCGCTGGAAAAGCATTCTTGGTATCATGGTCCTATATCACGTAATGCTGCCGAATATTTGCTCAGTTCCGGAATAAATGGTAGTTTTCTGGTCAGAGAAAGTGAAAGTTCACCCGGACAAAGAAGTATTAGCTTAAGGTAATGGCTTTAAAAACACATTCTAATTGGTCAATAGTAGCATAACACTCCACCCCCTTTTCTTTTATACAGATATGAAGGGAGAGTTTATCATTATCGCATTTCCGAAGATCCGGATGGTAAGGTGTTCGTTACTGCTGAAGCCAAATTTAATACTCTAGCCGAATTGGTACACCATCATAGTGTACCACATGAGGGTCATGGACTGATTACACCCCTCCTGTATCCTGCACCAAAGCAAAATAAGCCAACAGTGTTTCCCCTTAGCCCCGAGCCGGATGAATGGGAAATTTGCCGTACTGATATTGTTATGAAACACAAATTGGGCGGCGGACAATACGGCGAAGTATACGAAGCCATATGGAAGCGCTATGGCAACACAGTGGCTGTTAAAACCCTCAAAGAAGACACGATGGCACTTAAGGATTTCCTTGAAGAGGCAGCCATTATGAAAGAAATGAAACACCCAAATTTAGTGCAACTAATTGGTAAGTTATATGCGGACAAAAAAGAATGAATGGAATAACGAGAAATAGAAAAATATAAGAAAAAACGCAAACAGATAGATTCTAAATTATATTTCCTTGTCTTTTCTCTCTTCACCCTAAGGTGTTTGCACACGAGAACCTCCTTTTTATATTATCACCGAATTTATGTCTCACGGCAATCTTTTGGACTTCTTACGTTCTGCCGGCCGAGAAACATTAGATGCTGTGGCCTTACTCTACATGGCCACACAAATAGCTTCGGGTATGAGCTACTTGGAATCTCGTAATTATATACACCGCGACTTGGCCGCCCGTAATTGTTTGGTAGGCGACAACAAACTGGTAAAAGTTGCCGATTTCGGTTTGGCTCGTCTGATGCGTGATGACACCTATACGGCACATGCGGGCGCCAAGTTCCCAATCAAATGGACCGCCCCCGAGGGATTGGCCTACAATAAGTTCAGTACGAAATCTGACGTTTGGGCATTTGGTGTTCTACTGTGGGAAATAGCGACGTATGGTATGTCACCATATCCGGGAATTGATCTTACCGATGTCTTTCACAAGCTGGAGAAAGGCTATCGCATGGAAAGACCACCGGGATGTCCACCAGAAGTATATGATCTAATGCGTCAGTGTTGGCAATGGAATGCGGCGGATAGACCGACATTTAAGAGCATACATCATGCTCTGGAACATATGTTTCAGGTGGGTGAATTATGGGAAAGTGGTTGTGGTGTTATTGGTGTTGGTGGTGGAGTTGGTGTTGGTTATCATAGGAATGATGACGATCATAATATTGATGGTGACGATGAATATGAGGACGACGGCATTGAGCTTTGATTTCGACTCACGGATCACGATAGTGAGTGGGCACAGCATCAAAATCATGGCTATAACAACAATGCTTTACTACATTGTAGAGACATTACTAATAAAAGACTAGAAATCAATTGTTTAGATAAAGCAAATAACAATAATAATGGACAAGCACATCTTAATTTCTTCGATCTGCAGGAATCATCTATAACTGAAGCGGTCGAAAAACAATTGAACGCCACGACGACGTCAGCGTCAACGACAAATATCGGTCAAAGCTTAACGCCACAAATGACGAAAAAGGGTATACAGGGTGGTGGCGGCGGAAGTGGTAGCGGTAATAGTGGCGGAGGTGGTCTAACACCAGGTGGTCATCACGATCAGCAAGCCAGTACACCAATGTCAGGTGAGTGAATAGAGCCGTATACATTTCTATGCGCTGGCATATCTGAGAAGCGTGTAAATTACATTTCTATTTTAATTCTAGAAACTGGTTCAACATCAACCAAATTGTCGACATTTTCCAGTCAAGGCAAAGGCAATGTACAAATGCGCAGAACCACCAACAAACAAGGCAAGCAGGCTCCAGCTCCACCCAAGAGAACAAGGTAAAAATCTGTTTATTCGGCAAAAATGATAATGAAATTAATTAAATATATTTATTTTTCTTACAGTCTTCTGTCATCGAGTCGTGATAGCACTTACCGCGATGAAGATCCAACGGGTGCATCTACTCGACAACTGATCGATGAAATGCATACAAATGGTAAAACTGTTTACAGATCGTTTACCTTAAGTAGAACTTGTAAACCCTCACATTCGACCTTTTACTCTGCTTTCAACAACAACTACAACAACAATATCAGCAAAAATCATAACAACAGCAACAGATCCTTTGTTGTTAATAATCCCTCTTCTTGTACACAAAAATTACAGAAGAACGAAATTCAAAATTCTGTCCCCCACAATCCTACAACGGGGTTTGCTATTAAAAAATCCTCCTCATGCAGTAGTTTTCTAGTTGATATATTATTTCGAGGTATTTGTCCGAAGCGCAGTAAGACGAAATGTATTTTATTTTTTCTTTTCTTTCTTGTATATGTTTGGTATTTTGTTTATTGTTCCTTTGTCTTGGTTATTTGTAAGTGTTTGGTTTTTTAGTTATTTGTTAATCTTATTTCTTTGTGTAGCTTTTTAATTTCACATAGAAACTACTAACACCAGCAGTATTGTCTTTTTGAAAGGACACTCGCCTTTGAATCTATTAATCGCCTATATTTGATCTAAACAGGACTTTAACTACTAACTGTTCTCTTGCAAAACTCACTTGAAAATGATGATTGACTGGCTTTTAGTTGCGAATATTAATTCACTTTGTAATCGTTAGACATAGTCTAACCGACAAGTTCTATATTCAATTATGAACCTCAAAAGCGTAAAATCATTTGAGAGGAAAAAGTTTGGAAGTTTTCTAAAGAGTAATCTGGTATTTTTAAATATTTAGTCATTTGACTCCATTTGAATAATGTAAAGATAACTGCTATTAAATTACTTCGTAGTTGTGGTGTCTATACGTATATGTATTTTTTTCTTAATTACAATATTTAATGTCCCAAAAGGTATCATCTTAAATATTAATAGCAAATTTCATGTTTTAATTCAGTCATAACTACAATAATGCTGTCTTCAAAGAAACGTTGTTTTTATAAAAACAACAATAAAGGAATTAAGCCTGACCATTTTGCAACAATGAAATAATATATTTTTGAAATTGTATTGTCACGCGAATAATTAATTCCAGCATGTTATATACAACGTATACTTTTAAGGGACATTATTTAATTTTATTATTTAAATTTTCGATTTATTGATTTTTTTGCATATTTATTGCTTTACATTCATTTTCTTGCTACGCTTTGGAATTTGGAAAACGATTTACTGCCCGCCTTAACCTCGCAACGTTTTAAATATTGAAATTATCACCTAATACATACTTTTCATCTTTTCATAATATTTTCTATAGGATTATGATTTGCCGAATAAAATATCTGACCAAACTAATCGATTTCTCTTCCTTTTTTGTCTCAAACAACAGGTTTGACACGTGATATTAATAATCTTAATCAACGTTATGACTCGGAAAACGACAATACTGGTGGCGGAGATCCCGACACTGATCACACTGGCGATAGTCTTGAACAAAATTTACCAACTCAACACCAGCAGCAGAAAATGCAACACTCTATGCACGTGGCGGCTGGTAACAACATCGCTGCACGAGGAGCTCAAACACATTCCTCGTTCAAAAGACCAACTCCCGTAATGGGCAATAGAGGTTTGGAAACACGACAAAGTAAGAGATCTCAACATTCTAGACCGGATGCTACAAACCAAAATACAGTTGGCACGGCTCAACCAATACAAGTGGGAGCTTTGGAAGTTATGAACGTCAAACGTGTCGTCAATCGCTATGGTACTTTGCCCAAGGTACAGAGAATCGGTCAGTTTTTGGATAGCTTAGAAGATTCGAACGAAAGCACACCTGGCATTCTTCCACAGCCTCCTCAGGCAAGTACTAACTGTGTTACAAATGGGCTCAGTGGACGTGTTTTGAATTCAACGCCAAAAACGCCCGTTGCTGCATCACCATTGCCACAACAAATGATAAGAAGCAATTCATCGGGTGGTGTTACCATGCAGAACAATGCTTCGGCCAGTCTAAATAAACTCCAAAGACATCGTACAACTGCTGATGGCAGCAGCATGATGACTTTTTCCTCCTTCCGGGGCAATAGTTCAAGTAATTCGCCAAAGCGAAATCAACAGCCCGCATTGGCAAATTTAGAGTTTCCACCACCACCATTGGATTTGCCACCACCTCCAGAGGAATTTGAAACTATGCCTCCTCCACCACCACCACAGCCAGATTGTGATATTGTTCCTCCATTCCCCATGCAAACGCAGCACCACCAACAACAACCGCCACAGTATTCGGTGGGTAATATATCGGCTAAAACTAGTTGTAATGATGTGTCAAATACAGCACCTAGTGTGGAGGAAGCCAGCTCAAGATTCGGTGTATCATTAAGAAAACGGGAGCCATCCACAGACTCGTGCAGTTCGTTGGGAACTCCAGCAGCCCCAGACAATAATAACGGCAGTCAGAATCAAGACATGAAGGAAAAGCTAATGGCTGAAATCAAAGACAGACAAGTGAAAGAGAATAATTTAGCATCGGCTAGTCTGCAAAATGGTAACGGCGGAGGAGTTGATCCAGTTTCCTTGCTAGTCAACGAATTGGCCGAAAGCATGAACTTACCTAAGCAAGCCAAAGTGGCTACAAACAATACATCACCGAAATCTCCCTCTACAACGTCGGAGCAAAATGCCAGTAACTCGAACACATTTAAAGCTCAACTTAAGAAAGTCGAACCGAAAAAGGTGCCCACACCTACCCAGAAGCCCGATGCACCATCAAACATAATTGATTTTAAGGCACACTTACGCAAAGTCGAAACAAAGGCTAATGATATTAGAGACAACAACCAGAAGGAACCTAAAAAAGACAATGAGAAAGAAGCAACAAAGACACCCACAACGACAAATAATTCCAAACCAATCATAAGTTCTGGTTCATCGACCCTAGGCCATAATAAAGATGAGACCAAATTCAGTATTGCTTCCAATGCAAGCTCAACTGCGTGCAGTGGTGGCGGCGGAGGAAATCAAACCCAAAAGACTGAAATCAAAATAGATTTACAAGGCCAACATGTCCAACAACAACAGCAATCTCAAAATGCCAACATTTCAAATGCCAATGTGAGCACTGAAAACACAGCTGAAACGCCCCAGCAGGACAATACAGTAGAGGGTGGTAAGAGACGTAGTACAGGTAGTATCAATAGTTTGAAAAAGTTATGGGAGCAACCAGGACAAAATCAACCAGACTATGCATCTACACAAAATATGCAAGGAAACTCCGCCAGCACGAATAGTTCCAATCAATTGTCTCCAAAATTTGCATTTAAGCCCTCTTCAACAGGTGTAGGTGGCGTTCTGACCACGCCCACCAACGCTACCAGCGCCACAAATTCGATATCCAACAACACCAATACCAGCACCAATACCACTATCATGCATCAACGCACTCAAATTTCACCAAGATCTAGCAATAACAAACCTCCACCACCCATGCAACCCCCACCTCCACCTCCTCCCCAACAACATATACAACACCCCAATACCATTACCAACAATTCCACCGTCTCCAATGTTACCACCTCAACAACAACATCTACACATTTAACCAATTCCATTTCGACACAATTTACAGAGCTCACCAGCAGTAGCAATAACGGCCTCACCGGCGGCGAACACCAAGAGAATACAGTCAGCCAAGCCAATAATGATCTCATGACGCAATCAATGTTCGTAGAGAACACCAATTCCTGCTCATCCACAACGGGAAACAACAAGCTCTCCTCCTCGACCATCAATAAACCGGCCGTTCCACTCAAACCCACCAAACTAACCATTTATGCCACACCAATGGCTCAAAAAATTGCATCAGCTGGCGGGAATACTGACATTCCCACAAATGCAGCCACACCCAATTCCACTCAAATCTCGCGGGAGAGTATCTTGGAATTGGTTAGTCTATTGGAGAGTTCCCTGAAGCATCCCGTCAACACAATATCCGCCTCCCAATGGCTGCAACTGAGTGATAAGTTAAATATTTTACAAAATTCATGTGTCGTTTTCGCTGACAACGAATGCATGCCGCCACACTCCAAATTCCACTTCCGTGAATTGGTAACACGGGTCGAAACACAGTCGCAAAGCTTACGCGTGGCCGGCACTAAGAATGTCCAGGATAACGAACGTTTGGTGGGTGAAGTTGGCCAATCATTAAAACAGATAACGAATGCATTGCATAGGTAAATATTAAGAAATGGGGCGGGCGGGGAATTGTGGTTAGATGCAGAAGGGAATTTCATAAAGAGGCAAAAATAGAAGCGGAACGCCACTGGAATGAGTATATACTAGGGAATGTAATGTAATTATGGGGGTAGATTTGGTTTAAGAAATTCCCTTCTATGTCTTTGGGGAAAGCAATGGAAAAAATTGTTTAAGATGTTTCGAAATGTTAAGCGCTTGTCTAAAAGACAGAAAGATTAAAAAATATGGAAGTATATTGAATTGAAATTATATTACTTTCATGTGATTTCATGGATAATGTTTTATTGATATCTAAGTATGCGAATTAGGTCTTGTTTTCAAATCAATTGGATTGCAAATGGAATGCGTCAACCTATACAATCGATTATGGTTATATATGACTCGAAGACAGCAATGTGACAACCTTCCTTCGTATTCCAAAAGTCTGGTGTGAAATAAACACATACACTTACATTCAAAGCATCTTTAACAATTATAAAAACAATTGTGTTAGTTTTGTTTTTGTTGGAAAATTTTAAAGTCTCGAAAACCACAATTCAAAATTTTTATTTTAATTTCTAAGCAAAGGTATATTATTTGTAAGCTTTAGATCTTCTTTTTATAACAAAATATATTCATAAAAAATATGGTCATACATATACATATATTTTTCTCGATAATCTATGAAAAAAATACAGCAACAAAAATGATATATTTATAAAATCTAGTCATATAACAAACAAACAAACAAAAAAGAGGAATAAAATAATTAGAATGTATAACGCAAGAAGAGTAAAACAAAAATAGAAATTACAAAAAAAGTATAAAAAACGTAAAAATTATACCACAAAAACATATTCTAAAACTAAAACAAAAAAAGAAACATCTAAAACGAAAAATGAAGAAAAAACTCCATTTATATCGTAGAATGTAGAATTTCATAATTACATACGGAACAGTATAAAATAAAACACTCATATATACAATTATCATACATATGCATACATTTATAAAACATACAAACATTTACGACATATTTTAATAATTTATATATTCCAAAAAAATAAACACCCTATCATCGATTCAGTTCATTTTCATGCTATATCTTAAGAAGTCATTCACCTAATTTCTCTGACAATTCTCTTCTCACAATTTTTGTTCAAATAAATCTTTAACTTTAATTTGCAATTATTATATTTGATGTATTTATTTGAAGTGTTTATTATTATTAGTCTTAGAATATTATTATATTTTTATAGATTGTTTATTTTTTCCTATCAAGCCAAATTATTTTTTAATAAATAAAAATTATGTTTTTATTAAATTAAATAACAAAATAATGATTATTTTATAAGACTTCAATAAAAAATTAAGTCATTATCTTCCAAATAATACACAACATATTATGTTTTATTTTCAAATGCCATTTAATTTTTATTGTAATTGGTAAGGTGCAGATTACTTGGTGACAAAACAATGTATGGAAATTGGTTAAATTTGCGACTGCCAAATGTATTGTTACATTTTACGGCAATGTTATTACACTAACTTTCGTTACCATTGTTTTTCTTGAAATTCGTTGTAGAATCTACGCGTAAATCTAGAGGTTGACAAACTCCACTTACAATATGTTTCTATTGAAGCTATTTTTTTAACAGCATACAGTAGAGCATTCTTCCAAATATGTTGACTTTTGAAGGGATGGATAGATGTTACGTTCTTTTTTACCGCATATAATATGAGTTATAACATATTTTTAGAAACATATATCCGAATTGTAGCATCGATCCGGGCGACATACGTGAATACTACATATGCAAAAACAAAATATTTGCAGGTCTACGCCAAATCTTGCATAGGACCCACCTCCATTTCATTCGATTTCCAGGTTTTCGAAGCTTATAAATTAGAATAACGAATGCTTCTTGTCGTGATAATCCCTACAGAAGAGATTCTTAATTGAATTCTTGAATACATCAGCCAAAAAATATTTGGTATACACAATTTTAAAACTAATCTTTACCTAATCTATTAATGCTTCTTACTATAAGCGATTTTATTCAAGCAACGAATAGAAGGTATCATATGCTTAATATGAATTGTTTTTTAACTGTATTAGGTCTCCAAAAGAACATGTTGAAATCTCAGAATACTTATCATCCACATTATAATTATCATAGTACATTCGTCCTACATAAACTTGTTTTAATGACTCAAACCTACAGCATGAAACAAGTAAAAATAATGAAAAAGATTATTGGTCATGATCTCGGTTTATGGAGCAAACATAAAGTTATTTGTCAATAACGTGGAGCTTTTTTAAAATTCTCAATGTATTTCTCTCAAAAATGTTATTATTATTTTTTATTTCTGAAATTTCTTCTTTTTGAGTCAACATGAAAATGATACCACCAAACCATTACTGGAACACTCAAATATTCTAGTTACATTTTTCTTTTACAAGTTATATGCTTTGTTTTCGCAGATTAAATTAAACAGATAGAACATATAAAAATCACGAATATTAATCTTAGCATGTAGTTGTACTTGAAAATATTATACGTTTATGTAGATTTGATATTCAAATTTTGATGTCCATTTTGCCGCAATTTTTCGGAGAAAACTAAATATTTTTATAGAAGAAAACCAAAAGGAGAAAGTATAAAAATATAAATACATAAAATATGCTTTTCAGTTCTTTTATTTTTGGTCTATATCAAAATCATAATGAAACTCAGAACAACGCATCTTTCTTAAAACAAAAAAAGAATATACATAAATATAAAAAATAGAAGAGGGAATTAATAATTTCGTAACCCTTTTAAAATTATAATATATGTATGTGTCGGTGTGAATTACTATTATCATTATTATCAACCTATACATATATGGATTACGGATATGGATATGGATATTGACAAAAGAAATATGTATTAGCCTTTAATATGTACTTATTATTCTTACGGCATCTAATTATTAAATTAAAACCGATTAACAAAAAAATATAATATCAAATATGATAAAGTGATTCAAAGATTACTAAATAAATACTATTTAATTTTACGTCACTTTTTAATAATGTAACCGATATTTTAACCATTTAATTAACGTGTTAATAATTTTTACAATTTAATCCAAAAAAAAAAAAAAACTCCATCATTCCATGAAAACAATATCATTGAACCCACGCAAACATATTTACATTGACAACCTATAATAACATTTCTATTTCAAATAGAAATAAATGCATTTTCATTTCAAAATATACAATTAGTTGATAAACGTTTTATTTATTTTCAATAAAATAGCAGTTTACTATATGGCGGATCAAGGGAAAAGTTTATAATTTATTAAAAACTAATGACAAATGGCATTGAAACAAAAATAAATAATAGTTTTGTCATACCAAAATCTTTATTTTATTTGAGTGTTAAGGACACGTAAGTAGTAATTAATATGCATTTGCTTATAAATGCGAGTGGGTTGATGGGTGAATCATCAACGTCCAGTCGAAAAATTTTAGCGTTTTTAAAATTAAACATTGATGACATTAAGATTCGAAAGGTAAACATCTTTGATATTGAACTTTATGTTATTCCTTTATAATATTTATATGTGCAAGGAACTAGATAAAAGCACACACATGCAGCGAACGAAAACAAACGAAACGAATAACACAAATTTGCAAACATTATTTTTTCTTTTTCAATCGTTTCAATGCCAGAAATACACAAACAATAAAATTGCCTTAATATCTTCGGATACTTCGAATCCGTAGGAAACTTTTCCAAACCTTTGCTGTGCGGAAAGAAAGAAAAGAGTTGTCAATCCAAAAAAATTTTCGCACCTTTTCCATTGCATGAAGAATATAATAAAGGAATAAAAAGGCATGAATTAAACTTAGTATTTGAGTGAGAAAAGAAAACCAACCGAATGGTTTGGCTGTTGATTCAATTCTGATTTTATTTAAAAAATATGTTTCTTAAGTGCTACTGAAACTAATCTAACTTAACCTAATCGCAGCCACACAATTATTCTTATCTATTCTAATATTGAATGGAGAACATTGCAGGGCTGCTTGTCATTTCATTCTAGTAATAATCATCTACTGAGCGCATCGATATCTGTGCGTGTGGATCATAACCTTTATTATCTGGCACATTATCGTATGCGTCAGCGCACAAGATCACCGGTATTTTATGGCGGCTGAGAAATATGTAATTTTTGAATATTGATTGTTTATTGCTAGTTTTCCCAGCGCCTCAATCGCACTCAAAAGTATGCACAAAGTATTTTGTACAGTATTAGTTTTTACTTTATTTGTAATGAGTTAATACACAGGGAAACGTTTGCTAACGAAACAATTGCAGACGTTTGATATATATTTTTCGTACGCTGCGCACTATTACATGAAAGTTACAATGGTCATTATTAGAGGCATGAAGGGGGCTTTTGGAAACTCGTTATTTCAAAGCAAGTTCTTTCTGATATAAACTATATGTCATAAGGAGTATATTTTAGATAGCCGTCTGAGAAATATGATTCAATGCTAATGTATTTAGTAGGTCAATATCTGGATAGTATTATTAGAAAAAAAATATTTAAATTGTATTGTTGAGAAAATACAAATGTTTTATCGTGCTTTTTCAAGTACTAGAAAATATAAAATTAATATAAAAGTAGTATCATTCCTTTTAAAAAAAAAAAGTTTATGTACAGGTACATTATTTGCTATTACTAGTGTACACATCGTGTATATGAGAGAAACTATTCCATATTATCACAATATATTATGGATAGTGGAAACATATAGGATCTACGGAACATCAATGCAAAGGATTAGTACTGATAGTACAAAGAAATCATATTAACCTAGATCAAATTAACCTAGATGCAACCCAAATCATTTTTCCGTTTGAGAATTTGAACTATAAACTAGATTATATCAAATTTAACATATTTGACGATGACTAATATAAACGCTTTCTCCAACATTGCATTTAATATGGTGAATTAATCGACTATTGATTTTAGTCTTATCGATATAGGCGATAAATAAAAAACTCTAGATCCCTATTGCCGCCGTTAATTCCCCTTGCGTTATGGAGACTATATCAACGGCTGACATTCGCAGTTATATTAACGACGGCTTTGTTCTCTGTTCACGCAACAACTGAGAACTAAGAGATATTTTATTGGGAAAAAACTTTAAAACGATAGAAAATTAACTTTAATTTAAAAAAATCAGCATTAGCAGTAATAAAACATCTTGACGGAATAAAAGTTCAACAGAATAAGCAAGTGAAACAAGATTTTTGGTGAAAGACGACATACACAGAAGAAGACAAAAGAGAGAAAAAAGTTTTGTCAGCAGTCTGTCCGGCGAACAGTCACAGTCACACACGAAGAGCGAGCAGAAAAACAGAAAAAAAGTGACAAAAAGGCAAGACGACACATCGCAGACGAAGAACAAGAAGACACCCTTAAATACCACAAATAATAAAAAATAATACCAAGAACACTTACAAACAATTCCATCGCAGCGATTTTAAATTTTCTTTTTTGTAAATTTTTAGTTGGTTATTTGTGGGTGTACGTGCGTACGTGAGAGGAGGTACGAGAGGATATGCCGCTCTTTGGTAAATCACAAAAGACTCCAGCTGAGCTGGTCAAGTCTCTCAAGGAAGCCATCAATGCCCTGGAAACCGGCGGTGATCGCAAGGCAGAGAAAGCCCAGGAAGATGTCAGTAAAAATCTGGTCAGCATAAAGAATATGCTGTACGGCAGCACAGACTCCGAACCACCGGCCGACTATGTCGTCGCCCAATTGTCTCAGGAATTGTACAACAGCAATCTGTTGTTGTTACTGATACAAAACCTGCAACGCATAGACTTCGAGGGCAAGAAACATGTAGCGTTAATATTCAACAATGTTCTTAGAAGGCAAATCGGGACGAGATCACCTACTGTTGAGTATATCTGTACCAAGCCGGAAATCCTATTCACCCTTATGGCAGGATATGAAGATGCCCATCCTGAAATTGCCCTTAACTCGGGCACCATGCTGAGGGAGTGTGCCCGCTACGAGGCGCTGGCCAAGATAATGATACACTCTGAGGAGTTTTTCAAGTTCTTCCGCTATGTTGAGGTGTCCACCTTCGACATAGCAAGCGATGCGTTCTCGACGTTTAAAGAGTTGCTAACCCGCCACAAGTTGCTGTGTGCCGAATTCTTGGAAGCCAACTACGACAAATTCTTTACCCAGCACTATCAGCACCTGTTAAATTCGGAGAACTACGTCACCCGACGCCAGTCACTTAAGCTGTTGGGTGAACTGCTGTTGGATCGCCACAACTTCACCGTAATGACAAGATACATTTCCGAGCCCGAGAACCTGAAGCTAATGATGAACATGCTCAAAGAGAAATCACGCAACATACAATTTGAGGCCTTCCATGTTTTTAAAGTTTTTGTGGCTAATCCCAATAAGCCGAAGCCCATACTCGACATCCTGCTACGCAATCAATCAAAATTGGTGGACTTTTTAACCAATTTCCACACAGATCGTTCCGAGGACGAGCAATTCAATGACGAGAAGGCGTATTTAATCAAGCAAATTAAAGAGTTGAAGCCACTGCAAGAGGCTTAGTGCGCCAGCATAACACACCCCGCCGCATCCAGCCCTCAAACACAGCAACAACAAATCCTATGAAGAATGCCAAAATGCATAAAAACGAAAATTAAATAAAAACACACAAGACGTTAGAACTGCATGTAAACAACAACCATTAGACCTAAAGAAGGAAGCAGAAAATAATTTAGTAATTATCAATCAGCAACACACAGACAGACACAACCAATACTAATACCCCGAACCCAAAATATCACCACCAATGGCCACTCCTCTAAATGTCCTGGAAGTTGATGATGATGTAGGACATGGACTTGGAATCAATTTGGAAACTGCTTGGCAGTATGGTTTTTGTTTTCCTTTTTCTAATGATTATGATGATTAAAAAAAGAAAAACAATATAGTAATAGTTCTTATTTAGTAGTTTAACAAAACGTGTTAATATAACGCGACAACCGAAACCGTTTAACGAACGACAGACAGACAAGAACATGATGATGTTGAAGAGACACTACTTTTTAGCTTATAATACAAATTTATAAAGTAAAAAAAGAAAACAAAAAAAGAACATATGAACACTTAAAACAAAATACAATAATATAATTAATTAAAAATTTAAAATTTTTAAAAATAACTGAACAACAACTGAATTTAACAACTAAACTGAAAACAAACAACAAAAAGTAATTATATTTTATAACAAAAACAAGAAATTAACAAATGCAGACACAACATAATAATAGTATGGGCATCTCCTAACTTCGGGAGAAGAGAACGACGAAGCATAACACAACACATTCAGACACACATACATACACGCCCACTTGCAGTATATACTACATTTCAATTCCAAACACTTTTCCTTTGCAAACTCCGCCAGTTTGTTTCTACATTTACAAAAATAATAATCCTTGTATTTGCCGTGTATTGAGCGACATTAATTTGTTCCGTTAACAAATTCAGTTATACTCTTTATATTCTTGTAGATGACTTCCTCACATCCGCAGTCATTTCCCCCTCCTATTCGTTATTTGTATCTCATTAATGTTAGCAAGATACTTTTTCTTGAAATATTTGTTTTACTTTTTAGAATTGAAAATGCATACAAATATATTTTTGTTAAGCCGAAATTAAAAAAAAAATCACAGCATATTAAAAAAATCAACAGCAACAAAAACATTACTGCATATATTATTATAAATTATATTATTATATAATAAAGGAAAGAAAAACAATAAAGGAAACACACTAAAAAGACATCAAAGTCGTAGCCAACGTCGTTAAAAGGAATTGAGGTGCAATTTCTTTTTAGAGTCATCAATCAAATCAGTTGTTGTTATATGGTCAATGAGAGAGTGGTAGGTACAATATTTATTACATGTCTTCGTTTCGAAGTACAATTTGTATGTACAACGAGTGTCGTTGTAGAAAGTAAATAATCATGCATGATTTTGCCGGGTGAGTAGTAAATTCATGGAATTTGTTGTTGGGGGATTACTCATAGGAAAAACGTTTAACACGAATATTAGGTACCTACCTACCAATATTTTGTTTATCAAAATTTGTGAATGCACTTGTACATGTGTACGTGTGTTTTTGATTCATTGAACTTTAAGACGTCTAGTTCATAGACGATGCCTGGTGTATTTATAACAATCCGAGGAAAATCATGGCTGTTCTAGATAAAAATCATACTTAACTGTTAGTTAAATAATGGCAGCAAGATGTATTATTGAAATTTGGGTGGTGTTTATGGGACACGAAATAAATATAGTATAAACTAAAAAATGTACCTGCTATACGATTTTTTGTTCCAAATTTATTCATTTACTCCATTTGTGAGGATAATAATATAAAATTTTACATTGAAAATTGTAGTAATATTTTTCAATCCGATTCAAAAAACTGATGTTAAAATTCCGAAGAATAAAATTTCACTTTCCTTCTCCAAAAATTTGGGTTTAAAATATAATTCATCCAAGTGGAAACCGAGAATTGACGATTTTTAGAATTGAGAAATATTCACATGCACTATATTGATTCATATTTTATTACAGACCACTTTCGTTTAGTAGAATAAACTAGATATTTTGTTACATTTTCTGTGGAAGTGACTCTTATTATACAACCTGTGTAGTCAGGTGGCACAATTTTGCTCCAAAAAATTTAAACTTCTTCCTATGATGGGTTTTTGTAAATATATGAATACCATTAACTCTATTTAATACGGCAAACATTCCTACATAGCCGGCGTTCCTGATTTTTTATTGACAAGTTTATCGAACATTAATTTATTCTGGATTTCAACCGCAATTAGATATTAAGTTATTTAAAACATTTGTTAATGTAATAATTTTTATTGAAACATTCGAAGTATCCTACAGGATATTCTGGTCTTGCAAGGTACTTCTGGATATAGGACTTTATGAAGCAAAATAGATGGAATAGGGTAATGGAATTTAAGAATTACTCTGTCATTGCAGAACGGCATTTGAGGTTTGTATGGATACATATCTAATTAAGTTATATTGAATCACGAAAGTGGTAATGTGCTGATTTTTTTATACTAAAGATGACCAAAAATCTTTGGAGTACACTTTTTCACCCTTCCACATTTCATATAAAGTTATTAATATGTGCCAATAATATAGTGTCAACTCTTACAAAATTTTTACCAAAAAGCATTTTCAGTTTATTTTATAAACCAAGCTCCAATATACTACAATGAATTTCTTAAAAGTATTTTTAATCTTTCCTTAGTTGTACTTCTTTAACTTCAATGCCATCCTTGGTAATTATATTGATGCAAACAGCGTCACCAGTGTAGATATCACGTTCGGCAGCCGAAATGAATGTGTCGGTGGCAATGGCAACAGCACGATCTTTGCTAACTTTGGGAATTTCACCATCCAGTTGCATGTTTTTGAAACCAATTTGATTATCCAAAACGGGCTGTAGCAATGCTCCTGCTGAACCACCAGCTCGGTATGTGGCTCTCTCGCAATGTCCGATAGGATCATACGAATAGACAACACCCTTGCCTTCGTTGTCCAAGCCAGCCAATACATTGGATACATAATAAGGGAAGAAACGCTTGTTGTACATGATAATGGACAACATTTGGGCAATGGCATCGGTGGACATGGTCTTCAGGTGAGTGTGTTCATACATTTGCATACGGGCTTTGACCAGAGCCGTTAGGGCCAGTGTGTCACACCAACAGCCAGTGGAACCCAAAACAGTTTTCCCACTCAGTTGGAAAAGCTTGTTTTGCTTGCGAGTATGAATGGTGTAACCACTGCTAAGTCGAGTATCGGCAGCTATTACTACATAATCATCTCCAGCAATAGCCACAATGGATCTGGAAGTAACATGGTGAGAGAATATTAAGCTTAACCTTATGCCGACAAAAAATGAACTTACCCTCCATTGGATTCATAAGGCGAAAAGTCTTGGTGTTGTGTACCAGGAACCTTGTAATCTGGAAATTGTTCAATACCCATGAAATTCATTTTACGATTTATTTTTAAAAAGTAAAATTTGCAATGATTTGCGTTAAATTTCGATCTGTCGGCTGTCGCTCGAAGATGACAAACAATTTTGTTTGATACACGTAGGTTTCTAAAGATCGGGCAATTAGGAGTGTGGACGACACAATAAACTGTGTAAAAGAATTAATATAACGTTTATATGGGACAAATTGTCGTACATCAAAATTGTATTTCACTAAGACCAGTTTTACATTGAGCCTTTCACGCGCGTTAAACGCATGAAATTCTCTTTTGATCACCCTTCGAAACGCAAGATGTGTTTACATTAATGGTTTTAACGCGCGTTTATAATTTGGAAGATTTGACATTTACTTATTTATTTCTCTTTGCAATTCATTCATAACAAGTATTTTTATAAACTAGGATGGATAACTTAGAAAAAGAAGAATTGATTGAGGAAATATTAGATTTAACAGAATTTGCTGTGGACCATTTAGATATGGATGATCGGGAAAATTTGGAAATTATCCTTACATTATTGGATTTCTATGAAGAAGCCGAAAACATGCCTAACAAAAGAAGAAGAAGGGAATGGGTGAAACCATGGCGGAATGAGCGGGAAAATATGGGGTCGTTTCCTTTTCTTATGAAGGAACTTGGCAATGATGAATTGTCTTTCTATCAGTACATCCGGATGGACTGTGAAACTTTTAACTACATCCTACAGACTATAGAAGGCAGCATAAGGAAACAGGATACATTGTTAAGAAAATCTATATCTCCTGCAGAAAAATTAGCAGCAACACTTCGATATCTTGCTACAGGAGAATCTTACAGGAGTACCAATTTCCAAACAAGATTATCAGAATCTTTTCTTTCCGCTGCAGTCCCTGAAGTTTGTGAAGCTATTTGGAGTTGTTTCAAAGACAAATATTTAAAGGTTTTTATTTTGGTTAAGTTTTGTGTTACAATTTTTTTTTATTCATTTAAATTTTGAAATTGTATATAATATTAAAACTTAAAATAATTGTTGCTTTCATCATCAAACAGTCGATCTATAGACAGTTGTAATATGTCTGGGGTTCTGGGCATTGGGCTGGAAGTAGTACTTGTGGAGTCTAATTCTTCTACATGTGAAGAGCATGCTGAATAGTCTTCTGAATTGGCGTCATCACTCTTCTCATCCTCCATTATTCCTTCTCTTAGCGCATCTTGGATTTTCCATATTGTCCTTTGCTGAATTTTTTCGTTTTTGATGTAGTTCAGCTGCGCCACTACTTCCTTGCCGAGCCAGTCAAATTTTGGTTCATTATCCAATTTCCTAAATATTTTTTCTCGAATCCCATCAAGTTTTACTGGTTTTGTTTGTCTTTGCTAAAAAAAAAAAAATTTATTACAGTTTCCAGATACAGTCAGTGAATGGAAGAATATTGCAGACAAGTTTACAATGAAATGGCAATTTCCTCATTGCATTGGCGCATTGGATGGAAAACACATTTCTTTTCAAGCGCTCAAAAAAGATGGATCTTTTTTCTACAACTATAAGGGTACACACAGCATTGTGTTGTTGGCGTTAGTTGATGCAGATTGCCGCTTTATATATATAAACGTGGGATGTAATGGTCGCACACATGATGCAGGAGTGTTAATGCATAGTGATTTAAAACAAATTATTGACAATGGCGATAAATACTTTCCAACGGATGAAGTCATTGGAAATGGAAGAAAACTTCCATATGTAATAGTCGGAGATGATGCGTTTCCGCTCCACAAGCATATAATGAAGCCATACCCATACCACACAAAAATCAAAGAAAGAAAAATATTTAATATTAGACTTTCACGGGCTAGACATGTAGTGGAACATGCATTTGGCATATTAAGTAACAGATTTCTTATATTTCAAAGAAAAATGAATCTAAGTGTTGAAAAAGTTCACTTAATTACAAAAACTTGTTGCGTGTTGCATAATTTACTTAGCAAAAGAGATGTAAATTACATAAATCAATCATCATATACCGCCATTGACGATTCATCTTCTACAAATATAAGTGATGGAAAAGAGTGCCCCGTACGGCGATCTGCCCAATTAGTAAGACAAGGCTTCGAAGAATATTTAATCAAGAAGGGCAGCTTCATTGGCAAGATTTAAAATTGTAACTGATTATATTATATTATATAATTATATTATTTTATGATTTTAACACAAATAATAAAATATAAAACAGAACAAGTTAAAAAGTATCAGTTGGTTTACCGACAGATTGATACCCTCAGCTTATGTCCGTATATTAAAATATATTTTGACATGTTTTATTATTATTCAAAATTTTTGGAACTACTGAAGGAGTAGGACAATATTGTCCACTTCCTTTATGACCTAAGTCTGATATAAACATTGGGTGTGACATTTCAACATTTCAAATTTTTTTGAAAAATTTAAAGAAATATTTCCTTTCACATCTGTGCCTTGTCTTTGCATTTTGTCATTTTTGTTATATTTTTTGAACAAAAATAACTAACACAGAACATTTTTGGGCGATATGTCATTTTTCATTTACGCTAATAATATACATACTCTTTTCCTTGGAACATGATTTTCTGATGGACTGAGTAAAGATGGACTGGATAAAGATGGACTTGCTTTTGGAGAAGGTATCGACAGGTATAACTCCTCTGTAGTTGTGGCCAGGTTCTCTGTCTAAACAAATAAAAAAACGTTCACCTTTTTGTTTGTTGATTAATATAATCCATAGTTATGCTTGTGGCCATCCACAAAAAAGTAAAATAATACGTTTTTTATATTTACATTACATTATTATCTGTTTTGTGAATGGCCACAAGCTTAACTAAAGGTTTGTATTTTTAAATACAATTACTTACTTGCGGAATATTTGACTCCCCATCACGAACAGAGCAAAAAGACTTTAAAAATTGCAGCTGCGAATAACACCAAAGTTTTGGTTCATAAATATCATCGGCACCAGCACCACTCTTTTTGCTACAGGAAACTTTTTGGAGCTCCTTGACATATTGTGAGCGCAATGTGTGTATTTTCTTTTTTATACATTCCTCTGATATATTATTATCCACCTCCTTTAATTCCTTGCAGATTTCAAATAAGGCATTTGATCTTTTTACCCTATCTGCATAATGAGGGTGTGAAGTATTGTACAAAAATTCATATTGTTGATATTTCGTTATCAACAACTCCACTAACTCCTGGGTCCACATTAATTTATTAATTTTTTTTAAACCACACACCTAAGGAATTAAAATTATAATCACAATTGTACAATTTTTTCTGAATAAATCAAAACTCACCTGTTCGCCCGCCATTGTCTGTAATTTGCCTGTTGAAAAACGAAAACATATGAAGCAACACATAAATAACACGAAACACAAGAAAGAGAAATGTCAAAAGTTCCCCCTCAAACTTTCGATCGAGCCTGCTGGTCTACCCCGCAAGCACCTTACATCCTCTTACCCTCAACCTTAGAAACGCAAAGCGTGGGCACGCGCGTTAAAACGCTTAATGTAAAGTGCCTCTTTCTTGTGTTTCGTGTTATTTATGTGTTGCTTCATATGTTTTCGTTTTTCAACAGGCAAATTACAGACAATGGCGGGCGAACAGGTGAGTTTTGATTTATTCAGAAAAAATTGTACAATTGTGATTATAATTTTAATTCCTTAGGTGTGTGGTTTAAAAAAAATTAATAAATTAATGTGGACCCAGGAGTTAGTGGAGTTGTTGATAACGAAATATCAACAATATGAATTTTTGTACAATACTTCACACCCTCATTATGCAGATAGGGTAAAAAGATCAAATGCCTTATTTGAAATCTGCAAGGAATTAAAGGAGGTGGATAATAATATATCAGAGGAATGTATAAAAAGAAAATACACACATTGCGCTCACAATATGTCAAGGAGCTCCAAAAAGTTTCCTGTAGCAAAAAGAGTGGTGCTGGTGCCGATGATATTTATGAACCAAAACTTTGGTGTTATTCGCAGCTGCAATTTTTAAAGTCTTTTTGCTCTGTTCGTGATGGGGAGTCAAATATTCCGCAAGTAAGTAATTGTATTTAAAAATACAAACCTTTAGTTAAGCTTGTGGCCATTCACAAAACAGATAATAATGTAATGTAAATATAAAAAACGTATTATTTTACTTTTTTGTGGATGGCCACAAGCATAACTATGGATTATATTAATCAACAAACAAAAAGGTGAACGTTTTTTTATTTGTTTAGACAGAGAACCTGGCCACAACTACAGAGGAGTTATACCTGTCGATACCTTCTCCAAAAGCAAGTCCATCTTTATCCAGTCCATCTTTACTCAGTCCATCAGAAAATCATGTTCCAAGGAAAAGAGTATGTATATTATTAGCGTAAATGAAAAATGACATATCGCCCAAAAATGTTCTGTGTTAGTTATTTTTGTTCAAAAAATATAACAAAAATGACAAAATGCAAAGACAAGGCACAGATGTGAAAGGAAATATTTCTTTAAATTTTTCAAAAAAATTTGAAATGTTGAAATGTCACACCCAATGTTTATATCAGACTTAGGTCATAAAGGAAGTGGACAATATTGTCCTACTCCTTCAGTAGTTCCAAAAATTTTGAATAATAATAAAACATGTCAAAATATATTTTAATATACGGACATAAGCTGAGGGTATCAATCTGTCGGTAAACCAACTGATACTTTTTAACTTGTTCTGTTTTATATTTTATTATTTGTGTTAAAATCATAAAATAATATAATTATATAATATAATATAATCAGTTACAATTTTAAATCTTGCCAATGAAGCTGCCCTTCTTGATTAAAATATTCTTCGAAGCCTTGTCTTACTAATTGGGCAGATCGCCGTACGGGGCACTCTTTTCCATCACTTATATTTGTAGAAGATGAATCGTCAATGGCGGTATATGATGATTGATTTATGTAATTTACATCTCTTTTGCTAAGTAAATTATGCAACACGCAACAAGTTTTTGTAATTAAGTGAACTTTTTCAACACTTAGATTCATTTTTCTTTGAAATATAAGAAATCTGTTACTTAATATACCAAATGCATGTTCCACTACATGTCTAGCCCGTGAAAGTCTAATATTAAATATTTTTCTTTCTTTGATTTTTGTGTGGTATGGGTATGGCTTCATTATATGCTTGTGGAGCGGAAACGCATCATCTCCGACTATTACATATGGAAGTTTTCTTCCATTTCCAATGACTTCATCCGTTGGAAAGTATTTATCGCCATTGTCAATAATTTGTTTTAAATCACTATGCATTAACACTCCTGCATCATGTGTGCGACCATTACATCCCACGTTTATATATATAAAGCGGCAATCTGCATCAACTAACGCCAACAACACAATGCTGTGTGTACCCTTATAGTTGTAGAAAAAAGATCCATCTTTTTTGAGCGCTTGAAAAGAAATGTGTTTTCCATCCAATGCGCCAATGCAATGAGGAAATTGCCATTTCATTGTAAACTTGTCTGCAATATTCTTCCATTCACTGACTGTATCTGGAAACTGTAATAAATTTTTTTTTTTTAGCAAAGACAAACAAAACCAGTAAAACTTGATGGGATTCGAGAAAAAATATTTAGGAAATTGGATAATGAACCAAAATTTGACTGGCTCGGCAAGGAAGTAGTGGCGCAGCTGAACTACATCAAAAACGAAAAAATTCAGCAAAGGACAATATGGAAAATCCAAGATGCGCTAAGAGAAGGAATAATGGAGGATGAGAAGAGTGATGACGCCAATTCAGAAGACTATTCAGCATGCTCTTCACATGTAGAAGAATTAGACTCCACAAGTACTACTTCCAGCCCAATGCCCAGAACCCCAGACATATTACAACTGTCTATAGATCGACTGTTTGATGATGAAAGCAACAATTATTTTAAGTTTTAATATTATATACAATTTCAAAATTTAAATGAATAAAAAAAAATTGTAACACAAAACTTAACCAAAATAAAAACCTTTAAATATTTGTCTTTGAAACAACTCCAAATAGCTTCACAAACTTCAGGGACTGCAGCGGAAAGAAAAGATTCTGATAATCTTGTTTGGAAATTGGTACTCCTGTAAGATTCTCCTGTAGCAAGATATCGAAGTGTTGCTGCTAATTTTTCTGCAGGAGATATAGATTTTCTTAACAATGTATCCTGTTTCCTTATGCTGCCTTCTATAGTCTGTAGGATGTAGTTAAAAGTTTCACAGTCCATCCGGATGTACTGATAGAAAGACAATTCATCATTGCCAAGTTCCTTCATAAGAAAAGGAAACGACCCCATATTTTCCCGCTCATTCCGCCATGGTTTCACCCATTCCCTTCTTCTTCTTTTGTTAGGCATGTTTTCGGCTTCTTCATAGAAATCCAATAATGTAAGGATAATTTCCAAATTTTCCCGATCATCCATATCTAAATGGTCCACAGCAAATTCTGTTAAATCTAATATTTCCTCAATCAATTCTTCTTTTTCTAAGTTATCCATCCTAGTTTATAAAAATACTTGTTATGAATGAATTGCAAAGAGAAATAAATAAGTAAATGTCAAATCTTCCAAATTATAAACGCGCGTTAAAACCATTAATGTAAACACATCTTGCGTTTCGAAGGGTGATCAAAAGAGAATTTCATGCGTTTAACGCGCGTGAAAGGCTCAATGTAAAACTGGTCAAAGAGAAATGTCAAAAGTTCCCCCTCAAACTTTCGATCGAGCCTGCTGGTCTACCCCGCAAGCACCTTACATCCTCTTACCCTCAACCTTAGAAACGCAAAGCGTGGGCACGCGCGTTAAAACGCTTAATGTAAAGTGCCTCTAACATATATCACAGAAACGACAAAGGCATGCCCATGGCAGAAGAATACACGTAGATGCATCAACGTTTGCCTAAAATTTTAAAATGTTTTGTTTTTTAAATATGCAGATTTTTACATGTTCTCCGCCAATCAGAGGTGATATGCATTTTACAATAATTTTAACGAATTTGAATGATTTTTTTTGTCCCAGCAGCTGTGTCTTCCACCACGGTAACAAATCTAACGATAAATAGCTAAACATGAAGTTTCAAAAAGTGTTGAAGGCTCGTTTAGAGTCATTTGTGCCATACGAACCATACGTAAGTTCTGCACTTCTATCTACTTTTGCATTTTCACCATGGAAGAAGAATACAGGTAGTCGCATCGACACGGCTGCTGGGACAATATTACTTAAACTTAATTGTATATAGGACTGCAGTTGCATTTGTTATAAAATATGAACAACTGCTGCATATAGAATTAAAAAGCAGCTTGAAGGGATGAACTCAAATCCTGCCGTCGCTTCTCCTTATAATTTGACATTTATGTGCGTAGTCATGATGCCAAGCTGCTTATGTACTCTCATCTTAAGATCTTTTATTTAATTAAAATACTTACTTTGCAAATTTATTCGTAAATTTCTTTTATTTTTTCATATTATGTTTTAATAGCCCTTCTTCCTTTTCATACTTACCTTTCTAATGATTAACACCATGGTAGAAGAATATAGGTAGACGCGTCGACACAGCTGCTTGGACAATGAACTGTCAAACCAATTTTGGAATTGAAAATGTTGAATGAAAAATTATTTCAATTTGTAAAAATTGTTGAAAAACGCGAATTATAATAGCCTCCGAATGACGTATAGTATATATATATATATGAAAGTATATAAAAATCTACTTATATTTGAAAAAACATTTAAATTTTTTTGACATATCAATGCTCCCAAGCGTTGATGCATCTACCCATGGTACAATGAAGAGAAGGTAGGCCAACTTTGAAAAAATTGCAAATATAGAGGTCTACCTGTTTTGCTTGTAATGTCAGAATTAGTATCAAAATAATAAATAAAATCAAACAGCTTGTTGCATTTATTTTGAATAAATAATTGAAAACCGCGAAAATTGAATGAAAGGTCAACACTTCTTTTCAAAACCAGGTCCTATATATCTCTAAAGGATTATTTCGCTACAAAAACTCTAGATTTTGTCGATGCATACGTTGAAATAAACATTTTGAAAACACCCGATTTTGAATGTTTTCTGAACAATTTTTTTGTTATTGAAAAGAAAACACATACATAAACAAATAAAGATGACAAATTAAGCCAAGAAAATAAAAAAAATTAAAATCATATGGTATCATAGCCCTACCTTGATATCATTGTACCATGCATCTACCTGTATTCTTCTGCCATGGATTAACACCGGCAGTAACTCTATCTGGTACGTGTGTTCATTCAGTGAATATCGGGCTTATAAATCCCTCACATATACGTTCTTCGATCTTTGGATCTCTTCAACCAATCGTTGTGTTTGTTTTGACTTTTACCGTTATCACACATTCCCGGTTCGCTCTTTGTTTCTTTACGGCGGTATTTTCTTGCTGAAGCTTTGTAATCTAGTATGAGTGTGTGTCGTTTTTGCAAAAACTTTTTACTTGTTGATTCGAGTTGTTTTGTCTTTTATTTAAGTGTAGAATTAATGTTTTAATTTATTTTTAAGCGCGTGAGTGTGTGTTTTGGTTATTGTTGAAAATATAATTGATTGGTATAAAGATAAAATATCGGTTTTAATATAAAACAATCAACGAATTAGTTTTAGTTTGCGGTTTGTTGCAACAAAAAAGTTGCAAGTGCTTTGGTTTGCGAGAATTTTAAAACAACAACAACGACAACAAAAGAACTTCGGATTGTGACTAGCACAAATAAAAATGATTGTATTGTGAAATAGAGAATTCTAATATTATTAACAAATCTCCAAATTCCTGTACAAATTTTCCGTAATGTCCAAGAATACCTCACCGGTTTTAAGCTCAGAAGAGCCGCCCACAGTGTCCGATGACTCCACAATAACAACAACAACAATACGTGAAGATTTTGTTCTTGCTGCTCCAGACAAATTCAAAGATGATGAACCAGCTGAGGAATCAAATGGTGAGTTATTCCAAAGTGTTGCTGACAGGAGTCCACCCGAATCAAATGCATGCCTTGTTGAATGCTATTTTGGCTTTTGATTCCATATCAGAATGCGTAACCCAGATTATCTGCTGTAGAAAAACAAAAACAATCGAAACTTGCCGTCTTAATGTATTACCACATATAGCCATAGGTGGCAATGTTCAATCAAATTCAATGCTTTTTGGAAATGATAGATATATGCCTTCTTCGTGCCTTCTCACTGAAGTTATGGAACTCCATAGGCATTTGTTTCCCAATTTCTGTAGGTACATTGGCATTCTCCTCACATTGTTTTTAAGGAACAACTCTAGTTTAGTAAAAACTCTTAGATTTTTTCGAAATTTTTTCCAGAGGTAGGTATTTTTACCCTGATCCCGGGAAACTATTTTTTTCTTGGGGGACGGACCCGGGACCCCAGATTTTTGACCCAAAAGTCCGGGATCAAGACCCCGCTTATGGAAATACCTATCCAACAAGTGGTCACATGAAGGGGTAAGTTGTCATGGTTCGGAAGTTATAGTCAAATTATCCGTTTTTTGGATCCGGATTTTTTATGAAACCCCCAAAAAGTCAAAAAAGGGCCCATTATGGGGGACAACAATATTGATGCCAAATTATAGCTGACACTTCTACCTTTCCAAAAAGGTTGGATTTGTGCTAATACCTTTACTGAGTCCAGAGATATGGGTCTTTCCATCCGCATAACCCGATTTTAACCAGTTCATTAAAATTATGTTTTTAATAAAAAAAAGTGTTTATTTCGCGTAGCAGTCGTCTGAATAACAAAAGTTTTCTAAATTTGGCACTTTTTGTAAATAGCCGGCCTTCGGCCGGGGCTTGAGATTTTCACCTATGGGTATGTCCGACCCCGGCTAACGCGAACAAAAGGTTCATAATTTCGGCACTTTTTGTAAATAGCCGGCCTTCGGCCGGGGCTTGAGATTTTCTCCTCTGGGTATGTCCTACACCGGCTAACGCGAACCAAAGTTTTCTAAATTGGATACCTTTTGTAAGTAGCCGGCCTTCGGCCGGGGCTTGAGATTTTCTCCTCTGGGTATGTCCTAAACCGGCTAACGCGAACCAAAGTTTTCTAAATTTGACACTTTTTGTATATAGCCGGCCTTCGGCCGGAGCTTGAGATTTTCTCCTCTGGGTATGTCCCACACCGGCTAACGCGAACCAAAGTTTTCTAAATTTGACACTTTTTGTAAATAGCCGGCCTTCGGCCGGGGCTTGAGATTTTCTTCTCTGGGTATGTCCCACACCGTCTAGCGCGAACCAAAGTTTTCTAAATTGGATACCTTTTGTAAGTAGCCGGCCTTCGGCCGGGGCTTGAGATTTTCTCCTCTGGGTATGTCCTACTCCGGCTAACGCGAACCAAAGATTTCTGAATTTCATTCTTACGCAAAATATACCTTTTTTTATTGAAAACATAGTTTTAATGAACTGGTTAGAATCGGGTTATGCGGATGGAAAGACCCATATCTCTGGACTCAGTAAAGGTATTAGCACAAATTGAACCTTTTTGGAAAGGTAGAAGTGTCAGCTATAATTTGGCATCAATTTTGTTGTCCCCCATAATGGACCCTTTTTTGACTTTTTGGGGGTTTTATAAAAAATCCGGGTCCAAAAAATCGATAATTTGACTATAACTTCCGAACCGTAAGATCTTACCCCATCATGTGACCACTTGTTGGATAGGTATTTTCATAAGCTTTCCAACGATACTGATATTGTAAGTGGATCCGGGTCTAGTCGGGGTCTCGAACCCGGACTTTCGGGTCAAAAATCTGGGGTCCCAGGTCCGTCCCCCAAGAAAAAAATAGTTTCCCGGGATCATGGTTAAAATACCTACCACTGAAAAAATTTTCGAAAAAATTGAAGAGTTTTTACTAAACTAGAGTTAAGCCGTTTTTAATACCGACCTAGGCTATGGTAGGAATTGTAAAGCCATTGAGATACTGACTCCAACGAGATAATCAGGTTTCTTGAGGAATTTCATGCTTTACGCAATATCGGTTCGCCTATAGGCAGATTCGTATACGAACTACGTGAAAAAGTCTCCTTGTATAAACAAAAGACATCAAGTTCTTTTTGTCGATTGCCATATTGGCTTGGTTGGTCTAAAAAGCTATGAGCACATGCAAGTAACTTGGAAACTTTGGAGGACCAATGTAGGGAATTATGGACATCCACAAGAAAAACTTTGTACCATTGTAAGCATGGGACCCTGCTTGAAAGAGCCATGAAAGAGCTAAACATGAATTAAGTCAAAATCTGATAACTAGGAATAACACGTTGAAGCTAATGGGAGATTAGGTTAGGTTAAAGGATGCGTGGTTATGTAATCAACCACTCCACTCGGTAACCTATTAGTCCATTGTGTTCATCCTAATTTAGAGAAGATGGAAGAATAAAAGGGAAGAAGACGAATACTGAAGAAACGTGAATTTGAAGATGGGAATTGAAAAGTTAGTAGGTTTATATTCACGGTGTAATCAGCGTGTCATCCTTAGCCATTTAGTCTTTTTGCTAACTGCAGAATTACCGCTGGCTCGGTTTAGGAGAGGGAGGACAAGTCGTGCAGAATTTGCTTACTCAGTAGCCTCTGTCTCACTTCGATAAGAATTTGGCAGTGGCAGAGTAAGTGTTCCACCGTCTCAGTTTTCTCCTCGTCCGGACAAAGCCTGCAGTACTCAGTGGTGGCTTTACTGAGCTCTCAATCTCTATGTCTACTGACTCAGATCCAGAGAGATAGATGTACATTTTTGCATATAATGTTAACAGCACCCTATATTAACCTACTGGGCGTGTCACGTTTAAACCCAAAACTTATTGTTCTTAAGTCTAGTATATAGTTCATTTTACAGTTATTTTATTTATTTTACAAATTTTTATATTTTTACTTTTTTGTGTTATGCTCTTAAACATCTGAATTGTAATTATTAAGTGTTGATACAACATTTTCAGTTAATGCTAGTGCGTTGCATGATTTTTTTGTTTGTTTTTTTGTGTGTGTTTGATTTTAATTTGAGTTCATTAAACAAATAAAGGCAGTACTACATTCAGGTTAGTATTTCTGTGTTTGGTTGCTTAATTTTGAATAACCTTAACAATTTATCACCAACAATACGTATATAATCAAAACCCAAAACTCACATTACATTTTCTTTAATTTTAGTTTCTAACCAAGATCTTCCCCAAATTATGAATCTCAATTGCTTGTTGCTGGCGGACACAACGTTGGAATGTGCTCCTTTACATCTACAACATGTACTACGCCACTTTGAAAATGCGTCCAGGATAGCACCGGGAGAGTTACTATTTGTACTGACATATATTATCGCATTAGAATCGGGATTTGTTGCGCAAAAACACTACGAAGAAATGGGGAGCAGATTACATTGGATTTCGTCAACCACATCGTATCATTCCAAAAATGTTTTACGCCTTAGTCGATTGGCACCGAATTACGAAAGTAATGAAGAGCAAACACGATTTTATTTGAAATTAAGCTCCATTACAGATATGAATGTAACATCAACTGACCAAATATCTGCGTTGCTGGCAGCATTTGTAACTGGCGATTTCTTAATTGTAACTCTGTCACCAGCCACGTCTACGACAGCCAAGGGCTACAGCGTAGCACTTTCCATAGGCAGATTTGTACTGTCCATGTCAATTAAAAACAAACCGATTTATCAACGCCTAAAAAAATTGGATGAATTAACAAATTTACTGCGTGAACAACTGTTTGTACCTATGCGCAATCAACATCTTTACTGGTTGAGTGCTCCCATATATCCATCTCTTGATGCCATGCCGCCGGAACTTTATGATAACATATTACAATATCTTAGCTTTAATCAATTAAAAATTCTGGTTAATGTCAATAAATCTCTTTATAATTCAACAATAAATAGCAAACATATGATTAAGATGAGGGCATAGCTAGAAATCTCATATAAAACCAATATTGATTACAAATTTGTTATTTCAGTTTCTAATGTGGTAAAGGGAAGTTATGTGACACACCGTGTATTCTACAAAATTATTTGCACACAGGTTCCTTAAAATTTAAGATCGTTTTCGGTAGTGTAAAAACTTATTTGTATGTAAAACTTGAATTTGGGAAATAAATTTATTAAAAATCGATAAAAACGAAGTTTTACTTTTGTTTTCTTTTTTTATATATTATTTTTTAGTTTGTGCAATTTTTTATTTTATTTGTTTTGTTTTACTATTTTTGTTTTTAGATATACCCGAATCACCTACATCTGTTGTAAGTTCGGTTACATTTGCTGATGGCACATTAGGTATGTAATAGATAATTATAATTTATTAATCTCTTAAAATTATTTATGTTACTTTACTATCGTTAAATTCGCCATAGGTGGTTCACGATCCACACAACTTTTTTAAAAAATCGTATAGAAAATGTTCATGTTTGCGGATCTTGTTAGGACACCAACATTATTTCTTTAAAATAGAATGTCAATCAATTATTTTTGTTTCCCAAAATATGCATCTCCTTTAAGGAAATTAGAGATTTTTGAAGATAGTTTTATGTCAGGCAATGGTAATTTATTTCTTCGTTTCAGAAAGGTCATTATACACTGAATTTGAAATAGCGTTTTTTGTACATTTTATTTTATATTCAAATAACAATTATTACAAATTTTAAATTAATTTTAATTCTGCTATTTGAGAATAATTTTATTTTCTATGGCAATTTTGGCTTTGTGTTTAAAAAAAAAATCTGTAGATAAACAAATAAATTAATTGATAAAAAAATGATAGATATTTGCACCTAACTAGTTTGATGCTCTTACATTGCATCTGTTATTATAAAATGGGCATGGGTGACAGTCCCTGACTGAGTAAAGCTAGAGTCCGGATGTCAGGTCCGATTATGATTAGTTTCTCAGTAAAAAGCCAACATTTCCAAAACATTCCCCCTTAATTGAACCCAATTCTGTAATGGCCTTGCAAAATCGTTTTTTATAGAAAAGATTAAACAAATTGATATTCGCTAAATGTTTTCCAGTTTGAAATCATTCTTATTATTAAAATGCTGATAATTTACTACACACTGTATATTGTTCGAAATGTGACACATTTTTAACATATTTCAATTCTCTATATTCAATCTGATAAGATAAAACATTAGCATTGTTTTTTTTATTAATTTTGATATTTTTTAATAATATTTGCTTTTGCTAGACATTCTTTTTCGTTATACTGTTAAACCTAAAAAAATAAGAAAATTACAACAGTAAATTTAAAAAATGCCAATAATTGGTTCTGAACGTAACCTGAATATGATATTTTGGGAAATTTGACAATGCGTATGTTTTGAGTTAATTATAAGTATATATGCACTACATCTTTCTTCTTACTTCGTCGAGCCGAGCCGATCGAATTATTAGAGTTCATTGGTCTTACCATGTTAATGTGTAATCACTCTGCAGCCCAGTACGAAATTCGGAACAAATTGAGTTTAGCTCCAGCTGGCGGAAAATTTTAAAATTTTTAACGAGAGTAAATCTTGTTATCCTTATTTTTTGGAGGAAATCAATACTTCCCGACATATGGGGTTCCAAAGATCCAAAAATAATCGAAAAAAACTTCCAAATGTCACTACCGATAGGTTTTTGTACCCTAACCAAAGGTTTTTAAAGTAGACGGCCTTTGGCCGGGGTTTAAGATTTTCTCCTCTGAGGAATGTCTAGCACCGGCTTCGCGAACCAAAACTTTTTAAAGTAGCCGGTCTTCGGCCGGAGTTTGATATTTTCTCCTCTGTTGTATGCCCAACTCCGCCTTTGCGAATCAATAGTTTTTAAAGTAGGCAGCCTTCGGCCGGGGCTTGAGATTTTTCCCCTCCGAGGTATGTCAAACACCGGCTTCGCGAACCAAAGTTTACTTAAATTTAATATTTTTTATATAAACGATAAAGTATGACGAAGATATTTTTTAAAATTTGAAACCCTATATTTCGGTAAGTGTGTACCTACCTCCTGAAAATGTTTTGTTCTTATATTTTTGGTACTTTGGAACCCTTTGACTCGGGAAGTATTGATTTCTCCCAAAAAATTTAGCTGATGCTAAGCTCGACACGCAATTTTGCCTAACATTCTGAGTGGTCATCGTACAATGACTTTTGTGTGGAAAATACTAAAATTTCCATTCAACCATGAATATTTTTAACGCTAAAAGATATTTCCCGGGACAATCACAAATATAATACGGTTGAACTATATAATCAGATATCTGAGATATGATATATAGATATCGGAGATATATATCTCGAAGAATTCGTCTATTTTAGTTAAAAGAAATTCAGTTCTACAGAAACTTTGCCAAAAATTATTGTTGTAGCTCAGGCAAAATTAAACATTTTCCAAAAATTATTATATACCTCATAGAAAGTGATGGAAGTAGTCGATATAGTCCAAATTTGGCACATTGTACTTATTTGATCAGATATGAAAATGGACAATATTGGACCACTTTTTCGGATCAGCCCTTATAAAGGGACAACAGTTAAAATAACCATAACGGAAGTCAAAACATTGGCTGGGGGTATACATCCTTCGGCAAAACTGACTAATACTTTTCAACTTGCTTTTATTTTATTTCCCAGGTATTGTCGTTTATTTACACTAAACGATCCCAAACAATTGAAAATTAGCTATGACGATCTATAGTATAAGATAACGTGTCCTTGTGCAAAGACAGAAGAAGAGGATGGGTTAAACTATTAATTTCCTTCCATCCTTCTTCTTTCCGTTGAAGTAGAGGTCATTGTATAAGCGTTGCTGAAGTTTTGTATGTTTACCGATAGGCCAATGACCATTTACCAGAGCACTAACTCTTTACTGTTTTCGTCGCCATTGTCTTATTAGCTACGGGGTACTCTTGTGGTTGCAATGTGACCGACGATTTTTATTGATATACGACACATTTCAGTCTTGTTCCACGTGGTATTTGAATGCATCATAATTAATTTTAGAAACTAATTATTAGCTTATATCCAAACGTGTCTCATTCTAGCTATTTAAAAGACTTTGTTCACTATTCTACAAGTTTTGGTCTAGTGATAGAAGAGATTTATGACTATCGAGCTCGGTGGATGATATTGTTAAAGGGAAACCCAAACTTTTTTTTTGAGCAGTGGGAATATCCTATTTGGAACCAGAATTATTGTTACATTGGACACGCAACATTGCACCATTAACCGATTAACCGGCCATCGATACTTTTTCCTTACTTTTTGTTAACCTATTCACTGTATCACTATCTGATGTGGGTTATCAGAATGTGATTCCCTCAATGTGCTTGTCTCTCCCCCACAAATACATTTTTGTTTGTATACTTGTGTGTATATATGTCTCAGAGGGACTATATCTCACTGCCTTGTCTCTGTTAATAGGTCCCCAGCATTAACTGGCATCTCTGTGAATATTTCTGGTTGCCTATTCTAATATTTGCTCAGTGATATCATGGCTGCTTTCCAATGTGGAAATGTTATCAGAAAAATGAAAAGGTTCGTTCGCTCGGCATGTATTGCTGGGTTTGTGTTGTTGTACTTATCACAAGTAAACAACAGTAACAGTAACAAGATTTGCAACAATAATGATGGTAGCAGGCAATGTATGTCAGTTAATGATAGAAAATACTTTTTTCAGCTTATGGAATGAAATTGTTAAAATAACTCCCTAAAATGCTAAAAGTGTTGAAAAATGTTAGTTATTTTGGTACATTTTGTTCTTCAAAATGACATCAAAACAGCAAACCTGGAGACATTTTTTATTTTCACTTCTAGGACTGGGTAAAGTACTCCTCTGTTCACTTTTGCGTGCCCAAGATTATTTTCAAATGCGCCAAAAATAGTGTTATCTCCAGGGTATGACAAGGTATGTACGTATGTGTTTGTGAGAGACAACACTTACAGCATCCAATTCTTTTGCTTTTTTTTTCGCTGATTCAAATATTGACAAAAGCTTTTTCCCAAAGCTCGTTTACAACACAAGAGAGTGTTGTCTCTTTACCAAGAGTGGGGTTCTATGTATGTTGCCATGTAATGTTCGATTGGTTAGGGTATATTTTCATTGGAGTTTGGGATTTTGGGTCCTTAGAGGGTCGTCATTGAAAATAAGTACTTTTCAGAACTCATATGTAATTACTAATTTTAAAATCTGTTAAAACAAAGTATATGCTTTGTTGCATAGAATCACATTTGAGTCGATTTATGCATGATTCCTTTACATTTGGCTGGAAAACCACAAGTGGCTATCGTTAGAGCTCGTCTCGTACCATCGCTCGTTACCGTGATACTGGTAGCGTAGCCCGACGTCAAGGAAGTGGAAGGAAATGGTTCGAAAAGTAAAGAAGCGACTTGATCGAAACCTGTGTCGCAGTGGCCGAAAAATGGCTCGTGCGCTGAACATATCGCAATATTCTATTCGGCAAGTATTGAAAAATGAGCTCGGGGAAAAGCAATTGAAAATCCAAAAAATGCAAGAATTAACACCGCAACAGAAATAAAACAGACTCAAAAGATCCAAAGTGTTGCTTCGCTTGGCCGAAAGTGGTGAACTGCCGAGTTTGGTTTTCTCTGATAAGAAAACATTTGTTGTCCAGCAGTTTGTAAACGAACAAAATGATCGTGTTTACTTGCCAAAGAGGTCAGCTGATAATGTGGACCTTCGGTTGGCCAACAGAACTTAAGCGCCGGCCATGGCGATGGTGTGGGCCGCCATAACAGCCGATGGTCGCTCTCCCCTCGTATAAATCGACCATGGCATCAGAATAACTGCCGAATATTAAAGCCTTGGGCACGTAAAAAATTTGGTCTCAGACCTTGGACATTCCAACAGCACTCAGCACGCGCCACCCAATAATGGTTACAAAATGAGGTTCCTCGCTTCATTTCCAGCGCACAATGGTCACCTAAATCTCCGGATTCCAATCCATTGGACTATTGTGTCTGAAGTATTTTGGAAAGCAAGGTTGGCCCTAAAAAATACCAAAGTGTCGATACCCTCAAGCAAGCGCTTCGCCGTGAATGGGCCAAAATACTGCAGAGCAACATTCGGCGGCGTGTGACCAATTCTAATAGTAC